CTGCCCAAGGAAATCAGGTCAGCTGAGTCAGTGAACTCTTTTAAGTCCCTTCTTAAAACATACTTTCATCGGAGAGCCTTTCCCGATCTTATTTGACTTTATTTTATCCCTTTTATTTTATTGTATTTTACTAATTTTATATTTATCTTAAACGTGTATTTTAGTCTTTTCAATGTTTTCATGCTTTTATCTTGTATTGTTTTTGTATTATTGTCTCTTGGGTATTATTGTCTTTACACTTGTTAAAGCACTTTGTAACTTGTTTTTGAAAAGTGCTCTACAAATAAAGATTATTATTATATTATAATTAGTTACATTAGGATGAGAATCTTATAAATAATACAGTTGTAGAAAGTAATGCACTTTAGAAAGATATAAATTGCAATGTGCAAATGCATAACAAAAATAAAACTAAAGTAATCAAAATTATTAAGTAAATTAATAGATTACAAGTTGGCATTGAGTCAAAAGAAGACAGAGGGTAAATACAGAAAAACAAAGTGTGTGAAAGCGATAGAGAGGTGGTGATGTTGGGGGTCAACCTCAGGTTTTGCATACTTGCCATTGTTTTCTACACACAGTACATATGCCAACACCACGGCATGTCCAACTGCCTGCTCACCTGCCAGATTGTTCACCTGCTCACCACTGGGGCCCTGCCCATGGGTGTGAACATCTAACAGAAGTTTTTTTAAAAACAGTTGCTCCAAAAAAATTAATTAAAATCATCACCGGGTCTACCATGAGTCACACATAAATGCATACGTTACCTGGAATTACACACTTAAATGTTATAAATCCCATGTGCCCCCACATTTAATTTGATTAAAACAAGTATTTGTGTAATGTTTGCTGCTGAATATTTAACATATTACTCAGTTCAGTTATTCCTACATACATAGTACATGTTGGTGTTCATTCACTGGGAGTTAATGGCTTCATCACTTATCACTTGACACACACACAACAAGCACACACACCTTTTTGTCTAGGCGTTAGGGAAATTCCCAGTAACCTGCATGTGTACAGGTGATTTGCGTATGTTCACCAACCTAGGGGGTTTGATTATAACTGTAAACCCACTACACCTGGGCACTCTGACATGGACACACACACACACGGCCCATTACTCATCACCAACCCTTTACTAAGTGCTTCACAACTTCACACACTAATGGGAAATGTTGCTTTTGTGTGTGTGGGTGGGTGGGTGTGATTGTGTGTGTCTGTGTGTCTGTGTGTCTGTGTCTGTGTCTGTGTCTGTGTGTGTGCACACTCACAAGTCAGTTATGTAAATTGTTTTTTGTCAAGAGAATGACATAGTGAAATAATGTTATATATATTATGCAATAGCTGTGATGATAGTAGTAGTGCTCAGAAAGCTCACCCTCTGTAAATCCCCTCAACACCCTGAGTTTATTCTTGGAAGCAAAGTCTTATTTTTAGCTTAGACTTAGATGCTCATGCTTAAAAAAGAGGACTGACAACATTTTAAGGCAGTTACAAAAACACAAATCAGATAAATGTAATACCTACAGTACCTGTCCGGGTAAAGCAACAGTTGTCAGGTTTCACCTGCCACTCTGTGTGTTTCTGACTGCAAGGGTCCAATGTCTCTCTGGCCTTATCACCTTGTTTGAATCCTCCAGGTGCAAGCTGAATTATAGGAATCCTAACCGTCACCCATTTCACCCAGGGGTTTTCCGAACACGTTTATCGAGTATTTTTATAAAGCTCTCTCTATGTTTTGACAATTAATAACTTCTACTGCTGCTCCTTCAACTACTACTGCTACAACATCTACTTCCACTAGCACCTGCTTACAACTGCTACTACTGTACTGCAACTACCCCTGCGACTACTACAACTGGGGATGTATTTCTGGGGGGTCTTGGTAAAGTCTGCCTCTGACTTCCACTACATCCACTGTTGCCACCAGTTTGATACTGTGGGAAATGCTCTTATTTTCTGTGTTGCCGAAAGTTATAAGAGAACATCAACACTACCCTCATGTTTGTATGATAAATGTTAAGCTACCACAAGCAGACACTTAGCCTAGCTTAGTGCAGAGAGTTCTGTTGTTACAGTGAAGTTGCCCGGCAACCAGCAGAGTCTCCAGGAAGTTACCGTGCCCTACCAAGAAATAGTCTGAAACATAACCTCCCTTAAAACAACAATGTGTCCATGTTACACTTTCTCTACAGATTAAATAATTACAATATAACATATTAGTGAGCTTTAGAAGTGCTGACAGGAAAGGCACGGAGACAGAGAGGGGATGACATGCAGAAAAGGGCTCTGGCTGGAATCAAACTTGAGCAACTCTACCAGATGAGCTACAGGGGTGCCCACTGTTGGCATTTCTAATGATATTAGCATTTGCATTTTTTCAGCACTGGCACTGGCATTTCTAATTGTGTAGGTATAGTATGGGTATGGAACTGGATTGGAATTAGGACTTCTATTGGTATTAATATTGGCACAGATTTTTCCCAAGCTTTGTAGGCAAATAATTTAATGACATGTACTCACATACTATAAACTACAAGCCTTAGATATATCAATACATGTGTATTCTACCTACAACATATATTTGACATGATGTCAGTTTCATACAACAAAGAAAATCTGTAGTGGCTGTGGTGTCCTCACAGTGAAGGCTAATTAGAGAATTATGATACATATTGAGGGAGGATGGTTTTATCTCTGTGGGAATTATATTTATAATTTTTGCTGTGCAAGCAAATATTACACACACTAACTGAGGCCTTATCATAAAGATTATGACCTACTCTGCAGTTTGATTTGTTACTTATGGATGTGCTTTCATCTGTTTTATGTATACAGTTAGCATCTTGAGGGTTAAATGGGGTCTATGACATCATCTGCATCACGTACGGGAAGCCCTCCTGATATTTCGGGGAAGCTATTTCTCCAGCTTGCTGAACAGGTTTTCCAACTGCTTCTGACTTAGCTTTTAAAACCACAGCACACTGTAAAAAACAAACAATTAGTGTGAGGCAATCGATCCATGATTAGATTTATCAATCAAGCCAAAGTAAAAATGTTTGTGTACACTAGGTTCCAATTGTTTGTACCTGCACATGAGCAAACATGCACAGGGTAAACAAAGCTGTGCTATGTGTATACAAGAAGAGCAGTAACATTTTACAGAGCAGGGCAGTATGCATATGCATATACTGTAAGTGTATGAGTGTGTATTTGTGTTTGTGTAAGGTGTGTGTGGAGGCTTGTTTGACTACATTTGTGGGGTCCAAAAAAGGGATTCCTCTATACTTGTGGGGTTCGACAGCTTTGTGGAGCCCAAAGTGTTGGACCCTACAAGTTTAAAGGGCTCTCTAAGGGTCACTTGGTTTTAGGGTTCAGGTAAGAATTAGGTAAGGGTTAGGGAAAGGGTTACGGTTGGGCATGTAGTTGTGATGGTTAAGGTTAGGGTAAGGGACAAGGGATTGCATTATGTCAATGACGGGTTCCCACGAAGATAGTGCCACCACAAGGCTGTGTGTGTGTGTGTGTGTTTGTGTGTGTGAGAGAGAGAGAGAGAGAGAGGGTCATGAAGACTAAAGTATTCCAGATGGTCACCCTGTCACACTGGGTGGAAAGCACTATTTGCCCAGCTGCTGTACTGTGTCAGTCAATCTTCTGACAGTTGTACACATATACAGTATGACACACATGCACAAGTACATGTACTCATGTTGATACATTTTAAAGGTGCTGTCCAGAACCAGGAAGAAACAAATGTTCAATATTTAAGTGGTACAACACCATATAAAATAATTGCTGATACACTTTGACGTATTGACCTTCCACGACCTTAAGTATGTATCTTTGTGTACTCTGATAGGTTTATAATGTAGGGGCCTCTGGTAATATTTCAGTGTGATGAATTTCTACACTAAACCTTGACAAGCTGTAAAGTCTTGATGCCGTTACTGTAAGCACTGTTTGAGTTTTTATCATGTTTATATGATAGCACAGGAAAAAAACACAGAGTGTAAATACCTGCTCTCTGTCCCATTACATGCATGTCATATATCATCAGTCCAAGGAGGTCACAGGCTACTGCCACTGCATTTGGACTTATTATGTTATTATTACTTATCGAACCATAAATCTGTGTCAAAGGCATTTTTTCCTGAGGTTAAATGTATATCTGTCAACATTTACATGCTACATCCCAGCAGGCATAGCATAGAAACACCTGAAACAAGACCATCAGAGGGATAACACTGGAATCCACGTCTGTAATAATATTATTATGTAATATTATTTAAGCCATTATCTAAAGGGTTTTTTTATGTGTTAACAATGTAGTTGTCAACAACTTTAACCCCTCCTGTGAACTGTAAATAAACAGATAATAATAAATGACAATATACTATAATACAGTTTTTATTGTTTAAAATGTCTTAATGGGAGATGTTGTAATTGTTGAAAATACTGTACCTTAACAAACACTTAAAATATCCTTGTCCTCTAAACTACATTATAATGTCTCCTTACTGAATAGTGTTCAGCCAGTGGGTAGTATGGGTAAATACCTTTTACAGTTAAATGGAATTTTGGATGCATGCAAATGTGAGTGAGTGTGTGTAGAAGCATTTCAGTATTAATTCAAGATATAACACCCATCTTTTCTTCAAAACGTCTAGGTAGTAGAGCATGTTTTTCCCATAATTTCATTACCTTGCCCACTACCATGTTTTATTCCACCAGGATGTAAAGCCAAAAATATGAAATCACATCATTATCTCCCATTGCACCTCTGCAGCTGAAAATACAATGATAAGAAACCACACATACACCGCAAGTTTTGATTCTGTGGAATAAACTTTCACAAGCTTTAAAACACTGCTTACACTCACACGTAATATGAAATAGAGAAACAATCTGCCAAGAAAAAAATGCTTTCTTTTGTGAACCACTCCCACTAACAACCAAAGGGGCTTGGCCAAAAGTGACATATAAGAGGTGAGCATCATTCAGGTGAGTACTCATATTCTCATGTCTCCACCTTCTACAGCCTGAGGATACTACTGCACTGCACCAGACACAGGAATACACCTCTCACTTAACAAGGTACAGGTATCTTCTTTGTTACAGCCATTCATTCAGGTTCTGACGTGGCCTTGTTGTCTTTTGCTGTCATATGACTGTCTATCTGCATCTTGATAAGTTTGAGAAGCATGTGTCACGTCTTCTTTCACTTCTCTGTTCATGTTTTGCACTTTGATTCTTGTGTCTCACAACTGTCTCATTCTGTGTTAACTTTTTCCAGATTGTCCTTTAAGTATGTTGGCAGAAATGGAGACGGTGAGTTGGATATAATTTTATTGTACATATATATATATATATAGAGAGAGAGAAAGAGTGTAACCATAGGTCAGTCCATGAACGACAAAGAAAAGTGGTTATATTTATATAACTGGATGTTTGTGTAATAGTGGCTTATGAAATATTATAGTGTTAACTGTAATTGACGTGTTGGCGGAGGGTAAAGGTTTATTTGTAAGAGTAAGCAGCAAAGCCGCACATCACTGTTACCTGAATGTTACCTGTCCTGGTGGAGGCACAAACACTTGCATAAATTTGCCAGTCAAACTAAAACACACACTGTCACACCTGGCTCATTTTCAAGACCCATACAGAAAACCATGCAAACAGAATAAATATCACACGGTTTGCTGCCCTGTGAATGTCTTTAGTGTGTGTCATTTTGGAGTTTGACAAATCTAGCCTAGATGGAAACGAATTCACCATATTACATATTAAGGATGATGTGTGCGGTTTAATATTATGTAGAATTCAGGATTCATAGATAATTCCCAGCTTATTTAAAATTGATGAGTGAGTGCATCCCTAATCTCCCGATCTCAGACCAAAATTATTCACAATATGATGCAACACAGAATAATGAAAAAAACAGCAGGTGTGCAAGAACACCACCTTAGGCTATGACTGACACGGGATAAATGGCACCCATCGTGCAAAGTGTTTTCTCTCTGTCTGCATCACACAACAACCTAGTTCAGGGGAAAACTGTGAGTGAGTGTGAATTATTTCTCAAAGCCGGCGTCCTGCCTCTGTGTCTGTTAGATGGCTTTTGTCAGGCTGAGTGGAGACCGTGTGGCCTGGAGCGGAGTGGCTCCCTCATCCTGCCCTGAGGTGGACCTGGAGGTCATTGAGGAGTATCTGCAGGAGCATTCACTGGAGGTCCAGCCTGCACGCACACCTGCATCACCTCCAACCACCGTGGGGCAACAAAAGCACACACACTCCCACCAGAGCACCAGGATCATAGGTTACTGTGGGGGTGGCGGCAATGATAATGAAAAAGATGTAAATGAGATGATGTCGGTGGTTGTGTATTTCTATATCTTTTTACCTGACTGTATCTTTTGCCTGTTTCTCCATAGAAAATAGCTGGTTTGGTCAGCATCCGTATGAGTGGCACTGTGACCCCTACACTCCAAATGAGGAATATGAAGAGCATGCCCTGCCTCCAGCTTTGCCTAGTCCCCATGACCATCAATGGGTGAGTTCAAGGGGCCTGAATCTACCTAGCTCAGATGCCTCTTACATTGCTGAATAAAACTACACATTACTGTGTGACACATTTCACATTTTGAGGTTGAATTTAGATTTTTTTGATTGACTTTCTTCATAATTTTTGGGAATGGTTATATGTGTGAATTATGAATATTTTTTTTATGTGTGTTTGCTTCAGGACCACATTTCTTACTACGTGGGACCTGCATACATTGACTCAGACTCCCAGTCCAGTAGCTCCCAGTACCAAGATTCCCCATCACCATCGTCGGATAGGGGAAGCAGGAAGGACAGAGACTCCCTGCCTCTTGCCCCACTTTCAGGTACACATGCGCACCAAAACTCTCAACAAAATTTATTTTGATATATCTACACACCAAACAGGCTCGTATTTAGTGTAAGGCCTTCTGTTGGGACAAAAAAACATCTATGTTCACACATACGCACATTGTTGAGTCATTGTCACATTTGTATTTATAGCTTCTTCCTCCTTGGCAGGAAAGAGGAAGGAGCGATTGTTCCAGTTCCTGTTTGAGATGCTCCAGACGCCATCGATGCGTAACTGTATCTGGTGGGTCCAGTCCTCGGCTGGTACATTCCAGTTCTCCTCCCAAAACAAGGAGCGCCTGGCGGAGCTTTGGGGCCTTCGTAAGGGCAATCGCAAGACGATGACCTACCAGAAGATGGCACGGGCGCTGAGGAACTACTCCCGCACGGGCGAGATTCACAAGGTGAAGAGGAAGCTCACCTACCAGTTCGATGAGAAGACACTGCGAGGCCTAAAAGGAGAATCTAATGCAGTGTAAGAGGCCTGATGGACAGTATATAATATATATGTATATAAGCATGGAAAACAATAAGCACAATGGATATTTACGGAAAATCACTGTGGTTGTCCCATTCATGTCCATTCTGCTGATTCTAATTCTATGGTATGTAGAAACAAATGAATACTGGGTATTTGAAAAGCCAGAGGATGAAACACTGTAGGTCAGATAAGGGGCAAACAGGAAATGGTGCTAGTGATGTGATAGGCAATGCATGAAAAGTCAGCTGCCATTATAAACTATGTAAACCTAACAGGTTATCACATAATATCTACTTCATAAGTAGAACTACTATCATTCTTAAAATAAAAGTTGTGGTTTTCTGTTTTTTGTGATTCTGTATTGCAGATAGTCAGCATTTACACGATAATTTTAAAGACTTAAAAAATAGGTTGTGTAAACATGATCTGTTTGTGTTAAAATATATTTTTTTAAGATGAATGAATAAATCTGAAAATATTTTCAGAATACCTGATATTTTCTTGTCTGTCTGTCTATCTATCCACGTGAACAAAGATATACTGTGTGGTGCCTATCAGCCAGGCAAACACAGATGTGCTTATAAACTGGTGCAAACACAGACACACACAAGCACACACCCATAGCCAAAATTGTATGCAAAGTAAGCGTGCATTAGAACAAAACACCATTAAAAGCAAAACCTGTTAATCAGTAACATCTACAAAGTACCCTGACACACAGGAGTAGCAGGACACACGCAGACACTGAACACATTCGAGATGCTGAGTATAAATTTCTTTTATGAAGCTGCCAAAATAATGTAATTTAATTTCCCTAGTCAAATGATGGGGCCACACACATATTTGCTGAAACCACGTGACACAGGGTCAAATGACATAATGTTCAACACACATGAACTCGTAGTCATCCCTGACTACAGCTTGTACTACAAAGCAGATAGTTTGGTTCTGGTAACAGTCACAAACTTGTTCTGCTGTGACATGCTGTATTTACAGTAACCACGGTGGAAAGTAACCACATGTATTTACTTATGTTACTTAAGTACTAAAATTAGGTATGATTTTAATAATTTAATTTCCATTTTATGCCACTTTATACTGTACTACATTTTTACCTTTTAATCGAATACATTTATTTGACAGCTTTAGTTACTTTGCAGATTTAGATTTTACATCTAAAACATGATAAACAGTTCTAACATTTAAAACACTGCTTACATACCAATGCATTAGTAATATAATACATATTAAAATATGACACTGAAAACGGATATTTAGCAATTTTGATATTTAGCTTTACTTATTCAGTATTGCTAAATTGTAGTGTTACTCAAGTAAAAGATATGAGTACCGTTATCAAACACAAATGCAATATCAAACTGTTCTGTGAAAAATGTGCCATGGCTCATTCATGTAATCCTCTCCTCTAAGGCGACTGAGGCACACACAAAGTGAGGAAATGTTTTTCACTCACTGATGAAATACAGATGGCATCTCCATGGAGTGCACGCCTGTTGTGTGCGCAGAAAGCGCATGCATGTTTGCATATAAAAAGCATCTGTTCCATGCTTTTTTCCTGGTCATTTGAAGCCAAATCAGCTGAAAAGCAGGAATCTGCTATCTGAACAGCAGACACAGGATTATGCTGGACATAACTCTCGCTGTGGAATTCAACCCACCTGTCCAGGGCTCTCAGGGAAACCTGCTCCGTCAAACTTCATAGCTTCCCTGTTCTTCATCTGCAGTGATGGCTGAGTGGAGCTGGGTGGCCTACACAGTCCTAGAAGCGCTGATTGCTGTGGCCTGTTGCCTTGGCAATGTGTTGGTGGTGTGTGCGGTGTGTGTTGGTATCCGGGATTCCCTTCGAGAGCCAACCTTCTGCTTTCTCGTTTCCTTGGCAGTGGCTGATTGCCTCGTGGGTGTGGCGGCTGTGCCCCTGTCTGTACTATTGGATGGCTGGGTGAGTCTGACCCCTGACCTGTGCCTACTTCTCAGCTGTGTCGTGCTCGTGCTGACTCAGGCCTCTGTGCTGTCACTGCTAGCTATCGCCGTGGACCGATACCTCAGGTTACACACACCACTCAGGTGAGGTCTGCAAGTAGAAAAGCTGGATGGAGAACATGCTTACTAATTGATTTGTGGAAATCAATTTCATTCCTTCTTTCTCAGGTACAAAGCCCTGGCCACACAGAGGCGTACATGGATGGCAGTGTCTGTGTGCTGGATACTGTCCTGCCTGCTGGGGTTCACCCCTCTGTTTGGCTGGCACAACTACTCCTCTCTAGCCTTTGATTCCACAAATACATCTTCCACTTCCTTCATCTCTCCACCCTGCACCTTCCTCTCAGTCATCTCCCTCCCTTTCATGGTCTACTTCAACTTCCTGGGATGTGTCATTGCACCCCTGCTGGTCATGACCCTCCTCTATATGCGAATCTTCTGGAGCCTGCAGGGCCGTTTGAAGGAGGGCTGTCCTCAAAACCAGGCCTCTCTGCTCAGGGAGAAGAGGCTGGCCTGCTCCCTGGCTCTGGTTCTCATTTTGTTTGCCAGCTGCTGGATTCCTCTGCACCTGATGAACTGCATGCTGCTGTTTCATGGTCCCCAAGCTGTCACACCAGGGACGCTCTATACAGGTAGCTCTTCTAGCCCTCACACAGTCTGCTGTTGGTTGTTTTTGTATTTACATGTTGAGAAATGTTCCCCTAGAGGCTTTAAATTGTTTTGTTTTTTTCACATATGTATTTGTACACTCACACATACAGATCACAATACTTACCAGCAGTTAGTGATATATGATGGTAACAAATCCATTTTCCAGGTATTCTCCTGTCTCACGCCAACTCAGCAGTCAACCCTGTGGTCTATGCATATCGCATCCCAAAGATCCAACAGGCTTACAGACAAATATGGAGGCGCTTCCTCATGAACATGACCTGTTGCAACGGGGATGAGCAAGTTCGCCGATCAAGTACAGGCAGCCGAGCCAATCACACCGAGATGTGTGGATCAGGACGGATGGCCACGCCCTAACAAAGGACCACAGGGTCACTATAAGTCCAGTATGTCTGAGGTTCAAGTTCATGGGACTTTGTCATACACACAAAACATGGTCAACAATCATTTAAGGCTTTATTACAGATATCCAACTGAGGAAATACAGGCAGTCTGTGTGTTTGAAATTGTGAAACCCCTACACTGCACACACTTAGCCTGCCATGGCATTCGGTCGCCTAAATCTTGTCTGCAAACTTTATTTAAGCCAAAGCTAACTCATAAGCCTCCACTGGAGGGTGCTCTAGACTAACAAACTCAATAGCTGCTGTTGCACACAAACCATGTAGCCATCAGAATTGCAGTAGGTGACGAAGAAACAATTTCAAGATGTCATTCATGGATTTTTTGGGCAACTGATTTGAGGCATGTGTAACTTTTATTGAGATGTACATTTTTTTGAGTTAGTCATTTCACAGCTTCAATTCATGCATCGCTAACCTTTTGCAGCACATATCTACTAGTTCCTGTTTTTTCCCACTCCCCAAATCATAAAAATAAATATTGATACTTAGCCATGAGAGTGTGTTGAACATTCATGAGTGTTCAGTGAGCTCCTCGGGGAAGGCAATAGACTGTATAGTTATCACCTGAGCAGGGTACAATCCCACCCACCAAACTATACAACCTACTACCTCACCCTGACAGAGCCCAAATCAAACACGTTCACGTCCTGTTGACACCTGAAACCTGATTTAGCTGCTCTAGCAAAAAAAACAACAACAATGCTTGTCACAGTACATTATGTTGATTGCTGCAAGCGTATATTTTGATGGACAGCGTGATTGCCCATCCTGAGATGACAGTCGGCGAGTAGCTGACTCTGCTGTCTCCTTGGGAAAGACAGTAGATTGTATAGTTATCTCAAAAAGAGGTTACACAACCCCACAACTATTCAATCTACTACCTCAGCCCCAAGGACAGCATCCACGTTGCTTCAGCATCAAAGATCCACAAAGGTAACTGCCCTGCAATGGTACAAAGAAAAAGAAACAGAGAGGGTTATCTTAATTAACTATTCTTCTCAGAAAAATACATGCAAGATAAAACTGGGTAGGATCATCAATTTTTGAAGTGTATATTTACGTGACATTTTAGACTGATGTGTTCAAATTCAGCGCGTTGTATTTTCAGTTTTATCTCTGTGTCTTTGTTTTTGTGCCTGGAAATGGTTCAAAATCACAACTTATGGCTGAACGTGGAGTGCTTCGTGACGACAAGGCTTTAACTGCCAAGAAAAACGTTTATCCCTTCTTAACAAAAGAAGACCTTCCAAGATTTTGCATATTGGCACATCCTCACCGATCAACCAAGCTTCTTTTTGTTGTTTTTTTAATGCGGCGCTGAAAGTTAAGAACTCGGTTCCATTAAATTAAATCAAAGACAATTTAACGGTAAGCGGACATCGGAAAGTGAGAGCACTAATGTGTGAAAGCCCAACAAACAACTCACTGGCTTCCTGAGACTCTGGCATGTGATCGAGAGAGGCGGGGAAAAAGAGCTGCCGACTCTGTGCCAGGAATTCGTTTCCGTTTTTGCCAAATACTGAGCTCATTCCAGTGGGCTATCCCTGTGTAGGCTGGCTGCTGCTTCTCAGTCAGAGGTACACACACAGATGCTTGCAAATATGGCTTCCACCAGCTGCCTCTGATTGAATACAAGGCTGGGATTCTGCCCCCCAAAACACAACAAGGAAACACAAAATGGCGTCTCGCACATCGGCCATTTTAGGTCTGCTTAAAAACACTATAAGGTCTACCTTTCAGGGGTTTTTTTTCCTGAGCCTGCTGTCTCTTGATTAAGAAAGAGCGGCTGTTCAATCGATGCGATAGAGAATCAATCTTGCGCCAAGCGCCGAGACAAAGCCAACAGACCCAGACGACACACTCACTATCACAGAGAGCAACTCTAACCACACTTATCAGACAGCTGGAAAGTTCACAGAGAAAAAGTATCATCACATACAGCATGTCCATGTTCCTGTGAATTTACTTGTACTGTTAACTGTTCAGCTTTGGTTTAATAAAAAAAAATTGGCACTCTCGCTTAACATAGCAGACTGTGTATTTTGTTTCTTAAACTTTTATTAATTTCACAAAGAAAGATGCTCATGCTCAGGCAGCTAAACGCTAAACTCTTAAGGGATAAAGGGTTAGGATGGGCCAGCCTGTTAACATGGCAGCGACTGAAGGGTTAATGAGTGCCAGACTAAATGCCAGACCTGGGCCTCAGATAGACAGAGAAGGGGTTAGGAGGTACACTGCTTGCATAAATTAGCATACAGCCACAACCCCCGAGACTTGATCCAGACCGGCCCGTAGTTAGCATGCAGTAGACCCTGCTAGTCTGATTACAGGAGACCAGACAGACAGAAGGGGGGGTTGTTGGCATGATCCCAACTCTGCCACTGTGCCAGTGACAGATCTACAAGCTCTGTTTGGTCGCCGAGAAATGTCCCCTAACTGGAGCTGTATTCGGAGGACAAGGGGAACAGACTGACAGTGATATGACACAAATGGGTCAAATCAATGAAGATTTAACATCTGAGCATGGCCTCAAAGGAAAACAAACATTTAAACAGTAAATGCTTTCGGGGAATTCTGTGCTTCTGGGTTAATTGCAAAAACTGGTGTCCCTTGCTCTACACAACTCCCAACTGTTGTGGAAACACTGGGGCCAAACTCGGTCTGTCACGTGAGCTCTATTGGGCGCTGCTGTCTGCGCTCGTGGACTTTGTCTATGGCACATAAAAGGAGCACACATGGCTCGGCTAGGGCAAATAATTTTCTCTGTCAACAGCTCCGAAATAAATATCCCTCCAGCCAGTGGGGCAGCTGAGAGGATCCTGAAGAAAAGATGAGATAAGGAAGAAATGTGAGCTATTGAGTTAATCTCATCTGCCTCAGTCAGTCTGTCTGTGCATCAGACAGTCTGTCTGTGCATCTGTCACAGCAGAATCATGGCTAAATGGTAGTATATTTATATTAAGCCCAGAAACACAGACCTTGTCCTCTTTTGCCCTCTGATTACACTGCTCTGCTGTGACCAACCAGGATATGCTTTCCGGGGACAATTTCCTGCTTTAGTATGTTAATCTGTCCTTGGGTATGTTTTGGGTTTTTCACAACCCAATGTCAGCTGTAGAACTGGGAATTTGATCTTTTTCAATATGTTTCAAACACATCTACAGCAACAGCGTCTATAAAGCCCATACCTGATTCTGTTTCAGACATGCAACAATCACTGTTTGTTTTAAATGTATTTTAGTATATAATACCACCATGACTATAAAAAAGAAAGGCCTTGTAAGACAATTTTAAAGTGAAGACCTACAAAAAAGACAAGCTGTTACAATCCAAATATCTACTTATTACGTTGTGTAGTGAGTTATAAGAACATAATCAAAATGGCTGCTAAAATGACTTAGCAGTGTTTATTATACAGGTTTTAATAACTTCCAACATCAACCTGCTGTGCTATCAGAACACACGAAGAACCACCACTACTGCGCCATCTTTAACAAATCAGAACCCATGCGAAAAATGAAGGAGAAAAACAGTGAAATGCTGAAACAATAGGCCTTGGCTTCCTCCCCTACACTGTGAAAGGATGCAGGATACGTCAGATTTATTCCTCACCCGATACAAACGACGTAAACACACAAATTAATCAGCAAATCCCCAAACACACACACGGCACACTCAGTTGCCAACAAAACTCCTCCGAATTGGAGCAGATTTTCGCCGGAAGCAGAGGCAGGGAAATACCTATTGGATTGCCTGGTCCCTTGGTCCGCGAGACGGGATGAATGCTTGGCAGACACAACGGACGGGGGCACCAGACGATTGGTACAGGTTCTTGTGTGTTTCTCTCTCTCTCTCTTTCCCTCTCTCTCTGAGCTTTGTGCCAAGAATGGGCAGTGTCTGTGTACCAGGCAGAATTTCAATGAGGGAGGAAGGAGGTGGTGATGGTGGGCAAAGAGGAGGAGGAAGAGCGGTGTGGGGGAGCTGGAGTTGGCAGAGGAAGTATGCCACACAATTAATGGCAGGATGAAGAATTCCCGCAATTAAAAAGACGCAGAACGGGGTGTTCGTACCACATGTGTGTATGTTTACGCGTCTTGTCTTACTCGTGTCCAGTCTTAATCTACAGGAAAAACTGTGCCCAGGCATCTGGCAGATACGAGAAAGAGGGCTGATCCTCAATAGAGCGCTCCTCAATAGCGATTTTATCGTACCTGCTTTTTCATCTTTGCCACTCCCTAAGGAATACCTGATTCCTACATTAAAGGGCGAAGGACGGGAGCACTGAGCCACTTCCGTGCCCATTTGGCATGGTGCCCGCTCTGATGTTCTGTAAATCCTCATTAACCAAGCGCAAACACACAAGGCTCATGCTTATGTGCATGCGTGTATACAGGAATACACTGCCAAATGCATGCACTTACACACATATCCGCACACTGGTAGACTCAACACCGCACAGTCACTTGACCTGTGTACACGAAGGAAACTCATTCTATCTGATCCAGATTTACTAAATGTTAATTAAATGAAAATGCTTCCAGTCCATGGCCATCCACTCCTCCATTTTGCCAACTAGAGGGCTGCACGCACAAATATTGGACTCACACAGACATAAGAACTAGGTAAACATGTTTGATGAAAAGATAGCATGACCCAGATAAGGCATAAGGGAGCCATTGTGTTGAAAATCACAGTGTCTAACAATCATTTCAACCGTAAATACAGCCACACAGAAGTGGAGCTAAGTTGAAACAGTGGCCGGGAACACACTCATTCCGCTTTTGTAAATCTCCAATTTTTAGATTTATACTTAAGTATATCAGGTTGAGGGGTATTAGCTGATAAAAGGGAAAAAAACAAGACCATTTCTGAATCACTATTAGCGACTGTATACCCTCCAACTACCCAGACCCAGGCCAGATGTGTTTCTAAAACCTCTAAATGAAGGAAGTATACATCCGAGGTTTCTGTCCTCCTCTTCATTTACTCT